CGACAGGTCCGGGAATGAGGACAGCAGTAACAGTTATGGTGACAATGATAACGGTAAGCCCCAAGGCGTGCTCTAAGGACTGCTCTAAGTTGATCGAGCTTTGCATTGATTGATCGGTGTAATCCCTACAGCAATCCTAGGAGGTAGGTACATTACATGCCCGTTTATCAGATGAGGAGATCAAGACTTGTCCCAGACAAAATTAACTGGTGTGCAGTGGAGCCACCACCCTGTGCCTTAGGGATGTGACACACTCCCTGCTGCCAGTTCTGAGCACTGTGTCACACTAAGTTTTGCCATTCACCCTCCAAGGGCCATTTTTAAATATTTAAGCTGGGCTCGGTGGCTCAGCCTGTAATCCTGCACCTTTGGGAGGCTGAGGTGAGTGGATTGCCTGAACCCACGGGCTCGAGACCCGCCTAGGCAACTTGGCGAGACCTCATCTCTACAATAAATCAAAAATCAGCTGGGCATGGTAGCGCGCGCCTGTAATTCCGGCTACTCGGAAGGCTGAGGCGGAAGGATCGCCGGAGCCCAGCAGGTCGAGGCTGAGGTGACTGGGAGCAGCCATTGCACTCCAGTCTGGGTGACAGAGTGAGACTCCAACTCAAAAAAAAAACAAAACTAATATTTGTAGGTGATTTCCTACACCACCATTAAAAAAAAAGAAAATCTGCTGGGTGAGGTTTCTTACGCCTATAATCCCAGCACTTTGGGAGGCCAAGATAGGAGGATCGCTTGAGCCCAGGAGTTTGAGACCAGCCTGGACAACAAAGCGAGACCCTGTCTCTTCAAAAAAAAAATTAGAAAAATTAGCCAGGCATGGTGGTATGCCTGTGGTCACAGCTACTTGGGAGGCTAAGGCAGAAGGATTGCCTGAGCCCGGGAGGCGGAGGCTGCAGGGAGCTGTGATCGTACCACTGCACTCCAGCCTGGGCGACAGAGTGAGACCTCACCTCAAGCAAACCATCAAACATAAAAAAGAAAGAAAACTGAGCTTCAGCAGGGCCAGGTGTGTTGCAAAGGGTCAGGCTGACAGTTCCTAGCAGAGCTGAGCTCGACCACAGTCCTCCTCCTGCCAGGACCCCTGGTCTCATCATGCCTGAAGCCTCCCCGTGTCCTCTGCATGTCTCCGGCTGTTGGGGGCACTCGGCCCTTGGGAGGCTGCGGAAGGGTCGTCAGCCCCTGCCCAGAACCTGCCAAGCCCTTAGCCATACCCAGAGGCTGCCAGGGCCCTGCAGACCCTGCAGATCTGGTGTCAGGTTGGTGAATCTGGTGGAGAGGACTGAGTGTGTGTAAGAGAAAACCAGTTCTTTCCAGAACACAGTATTGTAGGAAGACAGATCACTCAGCTTTGCCTCTGAAAAGCGAGCATGAGACGCCAACACGGAGAAGCCAACTCTCCACCCTGGCTGTATCCTAAGACCATTCCCCCTCACCCAAGATAATTTAAAACTCCCTGCTCCCCGGTGACTTCCACATGCTGCTAAGTTGAGGACCACCAGCCAGCCCAAGCACTGACACATCACCTCCTCCAGCCCCGCCCCGCCCACTGTCTGCTGCTGGCCACGCCCATTTCTTTGCATACCACCTGCACGGCTTTCACCAACCAGGCAGGGTTGAGTGGTGGTAAGAGACTACATGCCTCACAGCACCTCCGGTATTTACTGTCTGGGTCTTTCCAGAAAGATTTCGCCAAGCTCTGCACTAGACAGGCATTTGCCCTGCCAACCTTCTTTTTTTTGAGTTGGAATCTCACTCTGTTGCCCAGACTGGAGTGCAGTGGCTGCTCCCGGCCACCGCAGCCTCGACCTGCTGGGCTCCGGCGAGCCTTCCGCCTCAGCCTTCCGAGTAGCCGGAGTTACAGGCATGCGTTACCACGCCTGGCTGATTTTTTGATTTATTGTAGAGATGGGGTCTTGCTGCCCAGGCGGGTCTCGAACCCGCAGGCTCAGACAATCCACTCACCTCAGCCTCCCAAAGGCACGGGATTGCAGGCTGAGCCACCTGCCAACGTTCTTGACCTCCCTCTGCTGGGGAACATAGCACATGAAGTCATCACTATTTGTGTATGTGTGAAAAGGACCAGGGCTGCTGGGGTAGGGGCATCTCGGAGCTGGCCCTGTGCCCGCAGCACAAGGCCCAGCCCACACAGATGCCCACTCACTGGCAGGTGGAATTGGATAGGTTTGCTGTTGAGTTGTGGTTTCTGGGCAGCACAGTTTGGGTGACCAGGGAGGGAAGGTTTTGTGCCTGACTGGACCGGTTCTCTCCTTAGACATGGGCCCCACTTCCCAGGGCTGAGATCCCTTGAGAGCCCAGAAGGTGCCCAGCATGAGACCTGGAGGAAGAGGAACCTCAAGATAAGATGCCAGGGGATTTGGTGGATCAGGGAACTGGTTCAAGATTAAGGCTGTGAAATGCAGGTGGATGTGGAAGCCCTTTACTTGGCAGGACTGACTGGTCCCTGTTGACCTAGAAGAGCTACATATGGCCAGGCAGTGACACTCTGGGGTGAGGATGGGGCTCAGTTACCTGGTCCAGCCTCCCATCCCATATTTGAATCTACTTACAGCCTCATGACCAGTGATACTCCAGTCTTGTGCACCTCTGATAACGGGGAACTCACTACATGCACCATTATTATAATTACTTTTTTTTTTAACTTGGGGTCTCACTTTTGTCACCCCGGCTGGACTGCAGTGGCACAATCGCAGCTCACCACAGCCTCGAACTCCTAGGCTTGAATGATTCTCTGGCCTCAGATCCTGAGTAGGTGGGACACAGGCGTGCGTCACCACACCCGGCTAATTTTTTTAAAATTTTTATTTTTATTGATGAGGTCTCACTGTGCTGTCCAGACTGGTCTCGAACTCAAGTGATCCTCCCACTTGGGCATCCCAAAATGCTAGAATTACAGGCGTGAGCCACATGCACCATTATTTAGAAGAGTGGAAAAAAGAAAAAGGAAAACATCTAAAAGTCTATACAGGTCATGGAACATTAATTATTCTTTCAAAGACAGCTATGACAAAAAATATGAGTGAGATCTAGATATAGCCATACAGAAAATTTCTGGGTAAGTTAAAAAAAAAAAAATCAGGTTACAAAACTATTTCGCATGAGTCTATTTATGTAGAAAACATATCAATTCTGAAAAGATGGAACACCAAGTTGCTAACAGTGCTGATTTCCCTCATGGAGATGTGATCACAGGGGACTTTTGCTCTCTCTATGGCACCGGAATTGTTTTGTTTGTTGGTTTTTGGAGCAAGCCTGTGTTGTCACAAAAACAACCAAGACGTTTCTATTAAAAGACAATTTTTAAAAAATTCTTTCTTATGTTGAATTAAAATTTACCTTCCTCTAGCATCAGTACACATACCTTTTGTTTTGCTTTTTAGGGCCATCCAGGCCACAGAAGAGATTTGCAAATAGAAACTGTTGAGCTGGACGTGGTTGGCTCATGCCTGTAATCGCAGCACTTTGGGAGGCCGAGATGGGAGAACTGTTTGAGGCCAGGAGTTGGTGGCTGGGGTGAGCCATAATCATGCTGCTGCACTTCAGCTTGGGCAACTGAGTGAGACCTTGACTCAAAAAAAAAAAAAAAAAGGAAAACAATTGTTGAGAGTTTGTTGGGAAGCACAGGCCTTGCACCTGGTCCAGGCAGTGTGGGCAGTCCTATAGGGAGTCCTTCAGTGTCTGCTCTTTTAGCTCTGTGCCAGTTGGTCTTCCCTACAAGGCTGGGAGTTCTTTGGGGCAGAGACTGTGAAGCAGTCATTTCTCTTCCCCACACAGCACCTCGCACCACACAGAATAGGCCCTCAGGAAGTTCCTGGAGAACAAGCAAAGGAATGAGTGAGTGAATGAATGATCTTAGGAAGATAAAATGATCAATGGATGAGTATCTCTCTCCCTCTACCAAGGACACTTGTGTCTCCTTCTGCCCTGACTCCTGGACATGCAGTCAGGAACAAGAGGTGATGGGTGGTGTCAGAGAAGAGAGGAGGGACATTTGTCCTGGAGAGGATTGAGCCATCCTTGCATGAAAAAGAAGGATAGCAGGGGCAAGACAGGAAGGGTGGAAGAAAGGGAAGACACCACACTGAGGGCACTGAAGAGAGCTTGTGGGGAGTGAGATGCAGACAGGTGAGGTTTCAGCAGAGCTGTGAGGTAAGTGAGAGAGGCGTGAAGAAAGATGCCAGGGTGTGTGAACGGGTGCACCTTTCTAGGGGTGCAACAAGGATTGGAGTTCTTTTTACTTCTGGGGAAGAGAGTGCCTTTCTGTAAACAGGATTCCTATTTGGCCTGGACCATCTGGAGCTCTGTGATGTATGTGGGTTATAAATGAATGGGGACAGTGAGGGAACCCAGCCTTACCCATTCTCAGGCCCAGTCATTGATCAGTGGGACGATGGGGGGAGAGTGTAGGTTTGGACTGTGTCACTGTCCCAGTCCTTGTCAGCCTCTGCTCCATGCTGTCCTCTGCTGCCACCCCTCTAGGACCCGGTAACCTTGGGAGCAGGAGGAGAGGGAATCCACGCATGAGACACTCTTGCAGTTGGAGGGAAAGAGCACTGTTCCGGGAGTTGGAGGACAGGGGCTTTGTATACAGAATTATCTTCAGGAAGTGTTTTAGTCTAGGTAGGAAATGGAAACAAACCACACAGTACAGGTTTTTCTGTAGTGGATCATTGGCACCTAGCTGACGTCCACCTTTTTGTGAGAACAGTGGGTTTGCATCCTAACCTGCCTCGAATGTATTAATATTAGCTGTGTGGCACTGGCTCAACCGCGTCACCTCCAAACATCTCCGTTTCTTCACCAGCAGAAGGGAAATAGCAACAAGGCCCGTCTCGCAGGGTCGTGGGGCAGATCCCACAGGGCGGTGGGCAGAAAATTCCTTTGCAAAATGTTCTCCACCCTGAGGGATTGCACTTTTCAGGTCCTGGGCCCGCTCGGCCTGCTGTCTCACTCCTGTTCCTTTGTTTTTCTCCCAGGATGGAGAAGAGGGATGTGAGTGAGGAGGAGGACTTCCGCCTGGACTGCCGCCACGAGAGATACCCCACCCGTAAGTGGCTTCATCTGCGGTGGCCACTGCGACAGACCCGTGGGCTATGGGAGGAGGAAGAGCCCCTGGAGATGCGCCAGCCCCCCGCTAGGGTGGGACGCTGAGGAGGGAAGAGAGAGGAGGGAGTGCCTCAGAGGCCGGCAGGGAGCCACAGCTTGGGTTCCTCAGGGAGAGCAGTCCCGGAGAGTCAGGGAGGAGCCTTGGGCCAGAGTCATTGAGTCATGGATGCGCTTGACAGCTGAGAGTGCTCTAACTCCATGCGCCTCCCTGTGGGGCTCAGGATGAGAGGGAATCTAGGGCATCCATCAGGAAAACAGGTGTTGGGACCAGAAAGCCACACGGAGGTAAAAGGAGAGAAAGGGCCTTGCTGGAGAGAGAAAAGCCCAGATGAAAACTAGTGGGGTCTCATCCCGGCTGAGCCTGCTGACCGCTGCACGCGTCTCCCTGTCCACCCCACTCTGGACGGAGGGCTTTTCGTGCCCGATCTCTCTTTCTTGTAGATCCCAACCCCTGAAGCCGGCCTGGCTGCCCATGTTTTGCAGATGAGGGCGTTCAGGTTCAGAGAGTTGGAGTGCTTTGTCCAAGGTCACACGGCTTAGCTGGCCAGTGGCGGAGAGTTACAGCAGGCATGGTCAGCGCCCTCCCCCTCTCTCCCATCTTTCAGGAAGCTTCAGTGGCTTCCATCTATAGCTGCGAGTCTGTGCCTGGAGGCACCCCACCTCTACCCACAGAAGACCGGTAGGGTCAGGAAAGTTGGCCAGTGGGTGCCTAGCTCTGGGATAGGTCCCTGAGACTGGCATGGCGCAGTTTCCCTGCGGGAAGAAGAGTCAGTGGCCATCCGGCTCAGGAGTTCTCCCTGGCCGTCCTGGGGCCACATGACCTCTCTGCCCAGTTTCCCTGTCCTTCCTTAACATGTCACCTATACTCGAATTCTTGTGTCCGAGTCTCCTGCTGGGGAAGCTAAGCTCAGACAGAAATTTAACCTGCAGGCCTGTCTGACTCCTTATCCTGTGATCCTCGTAACCAAGCGTGGGCTGTGCTGGGGAAGGAGACGGAAGGGAACCAGGGAGCTCAGGAGGGGAAGAGGAGAGGGCAGAGAGCCCCTGCAGGAGGCATCAGCCCAGGGAGGGGCCCACATGCCAACTACCTGCTTGCCCAGTGAAGGGTGGCATTGAAGGACATGCTGGGCTCTGTGTGAGGGTGGGGGCTTCCTGAAAAAGTGGTCAGGAGTCTGCACTCCTGCCTCAGGGATAAAGAAAGGGAAGTCTGCTTGGGAGGCACTCGAGAGGGGTGCAGGTGGAACCCCAGCACGGCCCAGGACTCTGTCAGTTCCATGTTTGGGCCTGAGCCTTACGGGGATTTCTGCAGAGTGCACGGGAAACTCTGGGGGTCAGGTGTGGTGGCTCATGTCTGTGTCCCAGCACTTTGGGAGGCTGAAATGGGAGGATTGCTTTAGGCTAGCCTGGGCAAATAGTAAAACCTCGCTTTTACCAAAAAAAAAAAAAAAATTCAAAAAATTCCCTGGGTTTGGTGGTGTATGCCTGTAGTCCCAGCTACTTGGGAGGCTGAGAAGGGAGGATTGCCTGATCCCAGGAGGTTGAGGCTGCCGTGAGCCATAATCATGCCACTGCACTCCAGCCTGGGCAACAGAGCAAGACCCCGACTATAAATAAATAAATAAATAGAACAATTAAGAGGCCTTGGGGGTTGTCTTGGGGCATCTGGGGAACTGGGTGGAGCAAAGGCCAAATTCCCGAAGCCTGAAAATGGAAAATAGAGTCAAGTGGAGCCACTGTGGCCCTAAAAGCAAGCCCTCGACTTAGGAATGAGCATTCCCAGGCCAGAGGCAACTGCAGAAGCCCCTCCTCCCCCAGTTCCCACAGCCCACAGCCTACCTGGGGCCACTCCCCCGGAAGGAGCCTTGATGCCTGCCACAGGCCGGCAGCCTGTGGGCGATTCTGCCCCTCACCCCTCAGCAAGTGTCTGTAGGCGCTGGGGAGATAGCAGGGGTAGGACTCGACCAAGGTCGCGGGGAGGGAGTCGGTGACCTCATAAGCCACCAGGACAGCCTCTTTCTCCCTCTCCCTCCCACTCTCTCTTCCTCTGTCTCCACCCCTCCCTCTCTGACTCTCTCCCCCTCATCTATCTCTGTCTATCTCTCTAGCATCTATTTCTCTACCATCTATTCATCTCTCAATCTCTCATCTGTCACCTACCTATCTCTAGCTTATCTCTATCATCTGTCTCTCCTTCTCATTTATCTCTCTCATATCTCTCCATCATCTCTCCATTTCCTTCCCTTCCTCCTCTCCCTTGTCTATCTCTACACCTCTCTATCATCTGTTTCTCTCTCTATCTCGCCCGTCTCTCTCTCTCATCTACCCACCTATCTCTATCCAACATATCTCTATCTCTCTAGCATCTATTTCTCTATCATCTCTCTCTATCATCTACCTACCCTTCTCTGTCTAGCATATCTCTCCTCTCTCTCTTTCTCTCTCTCTCTCTGTCTCATCCATCTCCCACTCTACCTCTCTGCATACATATCTCTGTATTGTGGGGAAAGGATCCGAGGGGAGCTAGACTAGAGGCCAGGAGACCAGTGTAGACTTGGCTGTGCACAGAATCGGTGCCATGGTAGTCATTCCTGGGAGAGCCGATGGTGGTCTGAACTGTGACAATGGAGAGGGAAGTGGGTGGCTTCCAGAACTCTCTGTGGTAGAATTTCCAGAGGGTCTTAGCATGGGTTCCCCTGGAAGCAGGCCCCCGAGATAAGGACACGGCATCAAGTATTTTATTTGGGTGACTGCGGAAAAGCCAAGGAGGAGTGGGGGAGGGGGACTAAGCAGGAGAGGGGGGTGGCAGAGCACCCATCAGAGTGGTCCCCGGGGCGGGATGACATCTCCCCTGGGTCACTGAGGGCTGCTGAGGGGAGGCTGGGATGCATGAATCCTCTGGCACTTCCAGCTCAGGACTGGGCAGAGTGGAGGGTGGAGAAAGCCTTCCTCATGCAGGTGGGGGTCAGCAATGAGCACCACCATGGGGTGGGGTAGGGAGCTCAGTGAGGGCTAGGGAGGGAGAAACCTAGGATGTGCAGGGTTTTTGCCAGTGCGGTCAAGGGTGTGGGGACACTGACTGATGGAAGATCTGGGGAGAGGGACAGTTTGGGAGGCACATGGATGTTTTGTCTGTGTGGAGTCTGAGGCGCTTGCTGGGGCATTTAGGAGGCAGCCAGTTTCATGGATGCTTTAAAAAGGCAGCGGAGAGCCAGGTCAGTGACTTATGCCTGTAATCCCAGAATCTTGGGAGGCCAAGGCAAGAGAATTGCTCGAGGCCAGGAGTTCGAGACCATCCTGGACAACATAGCAAGACACTACCTTTTCAAAAAAAACCCAAAAAACAAAAATTAGCCAGTGAGCTGTGATCATGCCACTGTACTCTTGCCTGGGCCATAGGGCCATCAGCTACCCCTGAGGTCTTCCAAATCCTGGTGTCTCAGGGAAGAATCCCAGCCCCCGCAGCCCCACACCAGGGGTGCCCTTTATCAGATAACTGAGCACTAGCAGGGATGGCGTTCTCTCCTGGGGCCAGCAGAGGAGCTGGGGACTTCCGTGTAGAAGGAAAAGCCGCCTCTGTGGTCAGAGCCGAGGGTGGGGTCAGCGGAACATGGGCAAAGACAGTACCTCACCTCGGTTGTCCTGAGGGTGGGCTGTTTGTTTCTTCCACAAGTCTTTACAAAAGAGGCTTCCCTGGGCCCTGGGGACATGGAGGTGGCCTTGTGCTCCTGGGCCCTGGCAGTTCCCAGGCCTGCCGGGAGACAGACCCAAGCCATTACTGCATTGTGGGGCCGGAGCTTTTATGGGGTCAGTACAGGCACCTCATCCAGTGGGTTGGGGGGATGGGGGAGGTAGAGGACAGGAGACAGTAGGCAGGAGGGGGTACTTAGGCGGGGTGACCCACCTCCAGATGGAAGTGCTGGACTTGGTTATACAGATAGCCAACATCAAGAACTCCGTCCCCCACGTCTGATCACGGCATCTCACCCCTGTGTATGTCCTGAGGACTTTGATCCTAAATACAGCCCCATTTTACAAACAGGGAAACTGAGGCCCAGGAGGTTAAGACTGTGGCTGACCCGGCATCAACACAGTCAGGAGGTCTGACTCCATTTGACTCCGGCCAGTCCGACTCCCTTGTGTGCACATCCTGACCCGCTGGGTGAGCCACCCGTGCCAGTCAGAGGCTCCCCTTGCTGGGCTCAGCCTGTGTGCCAGGCCCGGGCAGGGTCCTGAGGTCATGGGGCCGAGCCGGACATGATCTCGGTCCTTGGAGAGTTTGAATCGAAAGAAGCAGCGATCAGACCGACTGTGGAGACGATGCCTTCTCCAGAATTCGGCCTCTTAGCTGCTAGTGGGTTTTCAGCCAAGAAAATATTTTGGAAATGGCTGGACGAGTTTTGCAACGTTTCTGCAGGGAACAGCTGCTCGGATGCCGCCATGGGCTGACTTGCCGGCAGGAGGAACGGGGGAGGAGGAATGTCAGGGAGCCCACTTTATTAAACACTTACTGTGTGCAGGGCTGCGCTAAGCACTTCGCTGCCATCTCCTCTGATGACTGCTCCAGCCCAGAGAGGGAGAGTCTTCTTGCAGAGAAACTACAGCAGGGAACAGCAAAGCGACTTGGCCGAGATCCCAGGCGATACAACTCAGATTGGTGCTTAGGGCTTTCCTTTGACCCCAGGACAAGGCTGCTCCTGCTGGGATCCCTAAGCCCCTGACCCTATCCCCCCCTGCTCCCCCCAGCCCCATGTGGCCTCGGCTAAACAGCTTTCCTCTCTCAAACATGCAAAACGCATTCCCTTTGTAGGATCTTTGCACCTGCTGTTCTCTCTGCCTGAATGCTCTCCCTCTAAATCATCACGTGGCTGACTTGGTCTCCTCCTTGAGGTCTCAGCTGAAAAGCCACTTCCTCCCAGAGGCTTTTCTTGGTCTGCATCAGCC